ATAAGTAAGTTTTCTACGCGTAGAAAACACGTCAAATACTGCAAAAACTGTAGATAATTTTAAGGCTTTTCTACATAGTAATCGACATAGAGCTCTCAACATTTCACGTAACCTTAATTTCAAGTAAACCGTAAATGCAGTCTCCTGTAAACTTTATAAGAGAGTGTAAGATATATAATTTCGTTGTCGAATTGAATTTTAATTGCTTTACAAGTATTTTCTTACCTTCTTCAATTCATTTTTCTTTGTACTTTTAAAATATTTACATACTCAACGATAAAAGTTAGTTATAACACAATAAATAAACTTATAATTTTATGCACAGTTTAAAAGAGAAGCTTTACGTCCATTTTCATATCGTTTTAATTTTTACAATACGTTTAATTAGGTTTTCTACGTTGTCTATGACATTTTTACGTTTCTGATAGTTTCTTACAAATATACAATAGAATACTGAAAATTTTGTAGAAAACCCATCCCTGAATACTATCATTGATAGATTTGTAAGAAACTGCCTAAAACATAGATAAGTTGTAGAAACCGTAGAAAACATAGAAAACTAAATGAAATTTTTTGTAAACTTAATAATATATCAATAAACGTAAAGCTTCTCTTTTAAACTGTGTATAAAATGATAAGTTTATTTATCGTGTTTCAATTAATTTAAATCGTTGAGTATGTAAATCTTTTTAAAGCACAAAAAAAATGAATCGAAATAGGTTACGGTAAACACTAGTAAAGAACGTAAAATTCTATTCGACTACGAAAGTACGTATCTTACAATTTCTTATACAATTTACAGTAGACTGAATTAACAGTTTACTTGAAATTAAGGTTATGTGAAGTGTCACATACATGCGTTTACAGTACCAAAAAAATATGAATTAAGAGCCCATGATAGATTATGTACTCGTGTTATTCGCTCCATGAAATACTTTGAAACAGCGCCACCAACGGAAAAAAAGGTACCCGCCAAGTGCCTGGAAAGTTCACATCAAGTGCCTGGCAAGTTCCCACCAAGTGCCCGGCAAGTGCCCGCCAAGTACCCACCAAGTGCCCAGCTAGTACCCGGCTAGTACCCGCCAAGTGCCCGCTAAGTACCCGCTATGTCCCCGGCAAGTACCTGCCAAGTATCCGCCAAGTGCCCGGCAAGTATCCGTAAAGTGCCCGGCAAGTTCCCGCCAAGTGCCCGCTAAGTACTCGCCAAGTATCCGCCACGTACCCACCAAGTAACCACCAAGTGCCCGGCAAGTACCCGCCAAGTGCTCGGCTAGTACCCGCCAAGTACCCGCCAAGTGCACGCTAAGTACCTGCCAAGAGCCAGCCAAGTGCCTGCTACGTACCCGCCAAGTGCACGGCATGTATCCGCCAAGTGCCTGGCAAGTATCCGCCAAGTACCCGCCAAGTACCACCGACAATCACGTGCAATGCCTACCGTTCAAAGTATTGGCATAGAAAGTGCTCCCTCATAAGATGTTTGAAGCACGGACGAGACATCAGCGCTCGCAGATCAGAGGGCAATCCATTCTACAGTCGTGCCGCATGTATTTGGAAGGAGAATCTACAAAAGTCTGTCCTTACCTACGGAATGTGGAGATCACTCTCGGCGCTTCAAAAGATGAGAGTAAGTAGGACAGAAAGCGCGTGGACAAACAAATATCAATATGATAAGTACACATGTACATGAGGATGTGTGTTTACTTTTACTATTTCTCTTAAAGTTTGTGTTAGTCTTGACTTGATCAGCTCATAAAACTTCTGTTTGTGATAAAATGTATAAGATATGAGTTTATTTAGCTAAAAAAGGATACTAATACTGAATTGAAATTATCTTCTTTAAAATATTATCGTTATGATATTTTCAATGTAATTTTAGTAACTGTTATGATTATTAGTAGGTGATACGTTTATCCCATTACACTCTTGTTGTTACGCGATTTGACATGTTATTCTTAAAATATTCATGCAATTACATCTGATGCATGGCTTCAAAACATGACAGCATAAGAAGCAGACAATATTTATCTTGTAACATCCAACCTTTAAATTACCAGCAGTATAGTATATCAGACGCTCGTGCATGCGCGCATGGATATACCCATGTATACAGTTCTCACTGCTTACCAAATAAGCTTAATGACAATGTGGCAACGTAGTTTGGAACGTATTTCCAATCGCCTCCCATTTAAAAGCTATTTGTGCAAAAAAATTAATTCCAACGGGGTTCACTTCAGAAAAAATTGCTCTACACGCTGTTTCTGGGAAATGCCACCGATACATATCATCCTGGTTAGAGGGTGGTTAATGAATGGAAAAACACAACGTTTAATTTTTTTGCTTTATTTTTTTGTAATTTAGAGAAGAAGTCTTATTAAAATATATGTTGTTGGTAAAATTCTTACAAACGTAGATAAACTGTTCTTGAACATTTTAGCCTCGTTATTTAAAGAAAATTAATACGTAAAAATAATAACGTAACTAATTTAAAAAAAAAAAAGAAAGCAGGTAGTTGTAAACATACTAAGGTGTAAGTCAATATAGAAAAAAAGGTTTGATTTTTTGTATGTTAGCGCGTCTTCGTGAAAAAGACGTAAAATTTAATTTTAATTGTAGCGTGTTTAAGTATGTACACATATATGTATCAACTATTTTTTAATACATTTATTATATTATCAGTATCAAAAACAAATACATAATCTTTCTTAGAATAAAAATATAAAACTGTCTTTGTATTCTTTTAATTACTTGTTTTTAATATCTTACATAATTTTATATTTAACTATTTAACTTCTATTACATTCAGTTCAGTAACACTCTGTTTCAAAGATTTTCTTGTGATTAAGATCTAAAAACCCACACTTTAATATACATGTGTAAATATAAATATATTATTATCTTAAAAAGGATAAATCATCAATTTTTTTTTCAAGTTTTAAGTGAAATTAAAAACGAATCGTTAAGTAATAACTACTAGAAAAAGTTACTGAAGTAAGTTGCGTATGAAATATAAATTGGTACTAAGACTCTATTAATACGATTTTTAAAGATTTAAATTGAAACTGTGGGATAGAAAATCCTAATATTTTTGATCAGACGAGTTTTTTATTCAGCATTTGCATTGTTTTTTGTTATTCGCCCTTCTTTTTATTTAATTTTTCATAATTATAAATATCGGGATCATGTGCATGGATTACACTCCACGCTAGACAATACTTAAAACAGTAATGGTATTAATGACAATGACAATGATAATTATAATGATGATCAATAATTATATGGACCACGACATGGACAATAACTATAACGAGTTATTATAGTTACGATGAAGTTCTTTGCAGTCAGATGAAGTTGACCGACTGAATAGATTTTTTAATTTTTATAATATGATGTAACTAACGACATTTGTTCCAGATTTCATGTACACGTGTATAAGTGTAGAACACTTGTGCATTTGATGAAAGGCTATTATAATTTTATATTTAACACATTCATTTTATCAGATAAAACTGTGACGTTTGACTTTTGTCAATTTGTAAAAGTCAATCTTACATTACTCAAGAAAACGAACCAATTTGTATTGAATTTTTATACAACTAAAAATAATGTATCCTGAGTTTTTATTTTTTTTGTTTTGTGACCTTTTTTGTATGCTTATGGAATGTGTAGTTATTTTTTATTGATAAGCAAGACTGTTCCGAGGGTATTTTTGTATCAGACGATTAAATGCGCTATTCTCTGAGCGTATAAATTATTCACAATAATAATGCATATAGTATGTTTTTTAGTACAAATCTTAGTTGACAGTCCCAAAATACTTCATCAATTTTGTTTCTTATAAGTGTCGAATCATTGACAAGGTAACGTAAATGCTACATGTTTTGTACTATACACTTCCGCCAACTTATAAGTATTTTTTTTCGTACGAGCTTAATAACTTAGCTTTAAAAAAAAATTTTCTTAGTTTTTGTTATTCCATCTCAAACCAAAAATTTTATTTTTTTCTTGTTAGATCTGGGGAAAATAGACGAGAGGTTAAATGGATTTAAGAATGACAGAAAGTTGGGATCGCTCAAAAAAATGATGTTGACGATGAAATTGTAAGTAACTTCTAAAAATTAATTAACTGGAAATTGTTCATTAACAATAGTTATGAGAAAAAAATACGAAAATGATGAGAATGTAACACTGATTGTAAAAAATTATAATTTATGGTTTATTAATATGCCAACGGGCATAAGTAACTAAATTAAACAGAAATTAGCGTTAAATCAAACAATATTAAAATGTTTATTTATTTGTTCACTAAACTAACAAAGGACTTACACTTATTGCCCTTGATAGATGATTCTAAGAGCTGTCACGATGTTTTGTGGGGTATTTACTTACTCATGAATTGCTTCTTTTTTCTTCGTTTCACTCTGTTGAGACCTTCAACTCTTTTTGTCAATTTTTGGCTTACCTTCTACCCATCTACCACTTTCCCTTCTCTTTTTTCGGCGTACTGAGCCTGTCATGGTACCTAAGGTGATATATCATACATTCATGTTTCAATGTGCATGCCGACTATAGGAACCCATAATGTACCCAGCAAATATACCCACTCTCGAACAAGTGTAGTAATTTGCCATCACTATGCCACTATAAGGTTTTCTTGTAAAAGGTGTTGAGTCAAACAAATATAGAGCCGATTACACAAAAAAATTAAATGTTAATTTCCAAATTAGTAACATTAAGGGCCACTCAAGTTTTTCTAAATGAAATCAGAATATTGTGTTTTAATAGGTTTAGCATTGCATTAAATCTTTTAAGATGACATAAGAAATATTAAGTATGTTTATACTAATAGCAAAGTAAAATTGATATCAAATTACCAATAGAAAAAACAATATTAAACAATCATATAGTGAAACATATGTATTAAAACATCTTCGTTTTAGAATTATGACAGTTTAGTATGTATGACATAAAATATTCCATTTTCTTGAACTATTTGTTTATAGCGCTCTCTAAAGAAGATACTGGCAATGCTGACAATGCAATATTAGAAACGCCCAACACACCATCAAATATTAAGTTGACAGGTAATACATTTTTTGGGCCTGATTTTAATATTGAAGAATATCAGCTACAATCAGAAATTGTTGAAGATGTTGGGTCACCGCGAACTCCAAAAACACCGTGTAGTGCGGTTGTTAGTACTGGAAAAGAAGGTGATCGTGGTCATAGAAAGATACTAGAACAAAGAAGGCTTTTAGTCATGCAATTATTCCAAGAACATGGGTATTTTCCATCAACTCAAGCTACAACCTTATTTCAATCGAAACATTCAGATATTTTTCCAAGTAAAACAAGTTTGCAACTAAAAATTCGTGAAGTTAGACAAAAACTGAAAGCTACATCCACACCTGTTAGTGCAAGTAGCCTAATGAGTCCACAGCTTCCTTGCGAAACCTCATTAAAAACAAATAGTATGTATCAAGCTCTGTTACTTGTTTATGTTAATTTCTCAAAAAAAAATTTTTTTTTATTTATATACGCTTAGTAAAACCACAACTGGATTAGATCATGCACGTATATACACACATTGCCAATTTAGCAAGTACTTTTTTACTAGAATTAGTCTGGAAGCGGAGTACAGCAGTACGAAACAAGTAAATTTGTATATACGCACAACTATATTCATAATAAAATCGGCAATACACCACACTTCTTAAAAAAAATTTCAGTATGTTGTTTAAAAGCTTTTTTGTTTTTTTACAAATATACTCTGATTTTAGTGCATGCTATTATGGATAAATGAAATATCAGTATCACAATTCTTATTCGTGTAAAGGTTGTATTTTTATCAAAACCCTTTCTTACTTTTCATTTGAAGAATTGCTTGTACTTTTAAAAAATTTGTCAGCACAAATGATAAATGCTAATACGTTAACATGAAATGTAAAACGAACTTATTACTCAAAAATTTTAGGAAATTTAAATTGTACATGATGTAAAAAGATTTTGTTACATTTAAGTTAATAAACAAGTAATTGATATTCTCGTTGAAGATTGATGATTATTTTTCTTCATCTTAATTAAACTATTGTATAATACAATATTATTATAGAATAATGAAAAAAATTTAATATTATTTACAGAAAATGAGTCTTTTAAATAAAAAAAAAAAAACCTTTACCTAAATAAATGGCTTAGGAAACACAAATTCATAATTATTAATGATCTGTAAGAGAGAAAGCACACGATAAAAAAGAAAAATCATTTAAAATGCTATTGCTGGTAATTAATGCCGACATAAAGAATCTTATTAGGACTTCCCTAACGCCCAGATAACCAAAAAAAAATTATAAATCTTTAAGATCTAAAAAGGACAATGTTCGGAATCCTAAATAACAAAACAGTTTTAATTTACTCTCCATGTTTCTATTACCTTTAATTTAGTTCGTAGCCTTATTTCTAACAAAATATTGTTACATTCTTAACGATTTTCATCCAAAAAATTATTTTATCTTTTTAACAAGATTAAAAAAGTATGAGCACTGTAAATGTAGCTTATTAGACAACAAAGGATCAGGTAAGAAGCCTTCTTAGGTGAGGTATTGTTCAGAAGTTAAATGATAAATTAATAAAAACGAAATGGTTGCAGTTATTATTTTTTAAAAATATTTTTACAGCCTTCGTGTCGAACCGTGCGTATGGCGGCTCTACAATACTATGTTACTCTTCATGTATATGTTGTTGTCATTGGCATGCTGAAAAACCGTCTCAGATTTATAATAGTAAATCACTTAAAAAGCTATGAGAATTTTTTTAGGGATTGCACAAAATATTTGCACACTTACAGAAAGATAGGGAGTAAAAAAAATGAGGTGGTAATGATGCGGATAAAATACGTGAAAATTTGACAATGCGTATACGTAGAATCTAATAGAATACTATGTATCATTACCATAAACGCAGTCACTTCTTACTATACCTTTCTTATTTACTTTAGAACCAAGTTAAAAAAATTCAACTTAAAGTCATTACTAGGCAATCCATTACTAAATCATGAATTATTTTCTCAATTATTTGGATTTGATCCATTAAGATCAGAAAACTTGAAACTACAAGAGAGTATTCATTCACACATTAAAAATTCTGTATCCTTATTGTCAAACGACTCTTAAAAAAGTATATCAAAAAATTGCTTACTGGCGAATAGAAAAAAGGCCAGCCTGGTCCTAGAACCATAAAATTATTATTTTAGTCTCTGGGGCACAAAAATGCGTTTTTTACGGTTTTATTTTTTTCTCGAGTTCTAAGAATCAAATCTACTTAAAAATTTAAAGATGTACTAAAAGTAATTACCTATCTGTCAAATTTTTCACAAATGAATCAAGGGTCAACATAACCTCAAAAAAATGTTTAATTTTTTAATGCAGTTTTAACTATAGTACAGTTATTCAACGGTCAATTTTATTATTTTATCTTGTAAAATGGAAAAAAAAATATGAAAAACATATTTTTTTAAATATTTGTTAACTGTGGGCCGAGTCGAAAAATACCAAAAACCGATAAATAGCATATTTTAGCATATTTCTAGTTTTTTGACTATTTTAATATCTTTAACTATGAATATTATTGATGCAATTTGTATAAAAAAAGAAAATACTTGATGAACGTATTTTTCAAAATTTTTTCTGATGGTGGGCCGAGTCGAAAAATGCAAAAATCGATAAATAGCCTATTTTTAGCTGTTTTGACCATTTTAAAAGTTTCTAACAGTCAATATGATTTCTGTAATGTATTAAACAAGAAAAAATATATCGAAAATGTATTTTTTTAGTTTTTTTGTGATTGCGGTACGAGCTGAAAAAATGCGAAAAGTCAATTAAAAGCACATCTTAGCATATTTTTAGTTGTTTTGACCACGTTCAAATTTTTCAAAGATCAATGTTATAAGAGCATTTTATAGAACGAGAAAAAAATTTTTGAAATAAATAAATTTTATTCAAGTTTTTCTAAATGTAGGCCGGTCAGAAATGTAGGTTTAATAATTTTCTAAATCGTTATGGTTTTCAAACGCAATTTTGACCATGTTCTAATTATTATTTAGTCAATATGTGACGTGGCAAAATTTGCTTCTCAATTTTGTTTGCCACGCCACAGTCGACGCCCCTGCTCTAAAGCTAAATAATCATGCTGATGTATATCCGTAGTCTTTTCTATGTGCTCTGTTGTAGCGAATTTTTCCCAAGGAGAAGAAAGGATGAGACTTGAAGGGCCAATGGGTCAAGGTAGTATGAAGAGTGCGTATGGAGATTTTTGTAAGTGCCGCGATGGTGACACGAATGAGAAAGATCGGTGGATAAGGTAGGGACAGGGTAGGTGGGTCAAAAGATAGTTAGTTGACCTACCGAGCGATGAGTTGGGGACTGACGCGATTGATGAATTCAGTGGGTATGAGACCACCGCGGGCGAAGTGTAGGAGAGAGTACGTGGAGCCAGAGAGCAGAGAGTAAGCGAATATTAAGTGCGAGAGAGAGAGAGAGAGAGAGAGAGAGAGAGAGAGAGAGCGAGTGAGAGAGAGAGCGGGAAGAAAGACCCGGAAAAATAAGCCTGATCCCAACCCATCCGACCCTGAACGGCAGCTATCCTGCAGACAAGGCGTCCTCCTGTGATGACCCTATCCGAGCCCGAGGAGAGAGGTGTACGGGACAGCAGGCGAGAAAGGCTCAGGTATCACGCAGCGTCGACTTCCCGGACTGCGACCGTCGACGCTCATGGTGGACTTGTCTTACAGTGAGGAAGCACGGGATACGCCAAGGTGCAGTGCGTAGGTTACGAGGGGACACGGGTGAAATCGTCGGCTATAGCGATAGACGTGAGAGCAGGAGCGGAAGGATCGGGGAATAGGGCAGTGATTTTTGCTTGCCACGGTCGGGCCTCCGTCGAGACGTGAGGACGGACGTGTCGAGCAAAGTGTGTGAAGAAGGGAAGGGGACCGAGAGAGAGAGAGAGAGAGAGAGAGAGAGAGAGAGAGAGAGAGAGAGGAAAGAGGGTGTGCATGGGCGTGAGAATAAAGTAGAGGAGTACAGGACACGTGTACAGGTGGAGGCATAGACGGGAAGCAAATGCCGGAGCACCTCTTGGGGGACGTCACTGTGACCTTTGCGGGCTGCGACGGCGACCCACTCCGTGGGCTAGAGATCGGGCCAAGTGTGGGTGTGTGTATGCATGTACAGCCAGCCACGTTGAGGAGGCCTGGCCCCGACCGAGAGTCGTGTGGAAAATAAAGAGAGTGTAAGAGTGCGTGTGTGTGGGTGTGCGTAAGCGAACATCGTGTCTCTCTGAGCGCACCACTGGTGTCGTGGTTGCGATCGAGGGATTACGGAAGTGTAATTGGGACCACAGAGAGGTATTTTAGTTATTATAATAAATACGCTAAGTAAAGTCAAAGTCATTCTATATTGTTCATTTGACCCAGACGCGAATCCCCTTTTCAGATAGATCCAGTGAAGGGAGAGTCGAGAGCGCGAATCATCGAGTAGAGACGTAAGAGAGTGAATTATCACGGTATTTCCTCTCCCACGGTAAGTCGCTGTGGGGACGAAGAAATACACTTTATAAATATCATTATTTTATCTCGTGAGGCTGAAAAATTACATTTAAAACGTAATCTTTAAATTTTTTTCTATTGGTTAAGGCACACGGAAAAAGGCAAAGAAGTTATAAAATGCCAAGTTTTAAAATATAATTTTTTTATAACAATTTGAAACTGTTTTTTAATAAGAATTATGCATCATATTTCAATCAGTCAACACTTATTTCTTATTGAATTTTACGATACTATCAAAGTTTTATAAAGGACATCTTAGAATCTTTGCCAGTAGCCACATGAACAATATTAGGACGTAATACTTTTGTTAATTACCAATCGAGTTTTTTTACCAGTAATCAATTTTCTTAATATTTTTTAACAAAGTAATACAAGTAACTTCTAAGCAATTAGGTTCGTGCTTACCTATTTTTCTACTAGTATCTTTAGTCTTCGTCGCTTTCTTCGTTTATTACAGGATATTCGTTTTTAATGTCAAAAAGGTTTGTGAGAAGGTCGAATTACGTTGAATAAGTATCTGCCATGGAATAAGTGGTACAAAAGCGCTGCAACATAAGGACAACTGCTAATTCGTAGACTATTAGCACAATTGCAATAGTACCCTCTAATAGCATCAATCCGTTAACCGTTAAGAAAGTAATGAATGTAACACTTATGCATTTTATTGTTAGTATGCCTTGATTTTACTTCAAACCCAATAATGTCTGGATCTTCTTTCAAAACCGTATTGGAAGCGTTTTTTGATTATCTACCATTTCTTCTAGGTACGAAATAGACTGCTGTAGTTGGTATGTATCAGTAAAGAAGAGTGTTTATTCTTGTAAACTTAATTCTGGAGAATCTAACAGATAAGCTGATGATGTTTTT